AAAAAAGGACTCCACGGGTCAGAGCACAACATCAGTCCAGCGGCTGATGAGCAGATAGAGGACAGTTTGGTGCTGGTCCCGTTGTTGGAGTCAAACTGCCTTTCCCTTGTGTTTCATCAGGCCCTCTAAGATTCATTGAGTTCAATTCAAGTTCAATTGCTCAAAAAGGCTCCATCAGCAAGCCTTGTCCGCTCCAATTAGGGCCAGGCCCTTTGTGAATGAGCAAGGTGTTGGTCGCTTTTGTCCAAGTGCACGGAACCCAGACAGTGGCCAGACAGGGCCAAGCGGCAGATTTACACAGCAGATTACACCGGTCAATGGCGGCTCCAGCCAAAAGGCAGCGGCGGCTTGGATAGCGGCTCTGTGTTTACACTGTCAAGGGTTTTCTGTTACTCGTCTGTAGCCATTATCTTGGCAGACACTGGGCATATCAAGCATATCGTTTCAATCGGGGGGCTTTAACAAAAGAGGGGAATTGAATAGAAAAATGACCAGAAACCTCAACTGCCCTTTAACCATCCCTTGCTGCGCACTTTGTATTTACAAAATGCAAGGTATACATTCTTTAATGATCCATAAAATTAAGTCAAATAATTGGATTTTATGCATCCGCATTTGAATTAGTCAATTTTGCAGTTTGATTACTCGTTTATTACATGCTGACAACCTAATCCCACAGTCAGAAACTGCCTTGAGCAGTGTATTGAGCCTTCTCAATGCACTGATCCTGGTTATGGGTGGAAAGACCAAACATCCGCTCTCACTGCAGGCACCGGATTAAAAGAACAAATACAAGTAAGAAAGCCAAACAACAAGCTCTTCTTAACTATTTCTTTTTGGCCTTGCATCCTCATTACTGGCAGTCCTGCCAGTTCTTCTCATAAAGTCAGAAAGCAATGTTTCTTCAAGATTTTCAAAGCTCCGCCCTCCATCCCAGCAGGATTCAGTGTGGTGCGGTTCACCCAGTTCATCCTCAGCATCCTCCTAACCAGATTACTTCTCCCGCAGCAGATTGACAACGCCGGTGAATTGGTCGGACTTTAACGCAGATTTGGATTCCCTTTCGAAATGAACGTGAAGCGGAAGAAAATGTGACCTTAGAACATCTAAATCTGCTATAATTGACTATGGGATTATCATAAATAAGAAGGTCTCACAAAAGGCTGGGGATGGGAACCGGGGAATAGCTGCTGACAGCAACAGCTCTTTTTCTTATTTTTTTTAGATATCATAGGGATACTTCACCTCTGTTATTTTTGCCTGGAGTTTTATGTTCAACACATCAACGTTTGTTCATGTGCTCCGTACGGATATCTGCAATCACATGCTGAGAACAGTGTTTCCCCACATCGCTATCAATGGTAACATTGACCACCAGGGGCGAAATGAAATGTGGGCTCTTTGTTTAGCGCACAAAAGGACTGAATTCTGCACGTGTTTTAAGAATGTCCCATGCTATATTCAGTATTTTTGTGTGGAGAACAGCAAACAGAAATCCACTATGTAGTGTCAGAAGGACTGTCAGTGAGCAAAGATAAATGATTACAAGCTCTCTACAGTGGACATGATGCATCCTTTTTACTGAGATGAGGCTCTGGACAATCATTTGCTGCATGCGGTAGTCTTAAATGCAAATAAAAGAATGGAATAACTTGAAATTTACGAGTAAAAAAAAATACACAACACAGGACATGTTTCACTTTTATATCACATCATGTAAAATCAGTGTTGGTCCTTATAGGACTAAACAGCAGTTGTTTTAAACATTATTGTGTAATTTTCTTCCTTTTATCTTGATTGCACTAACAATGGCTACACACAAGACTGAGTGTCACACGCTGTCAAAGACTCATTTCAAAGTTGATAATGTAATGCCTGGAATGAACGCAAATTTAAACCACTTACTCCTAAAACATCCACAGTACTGTCTTCTTTCATTCTGAAATCCTGATATTCAGTGTTCTGTTACAACACACACCCACAGGCGGCCTAAAAGAGATGAAACGAACCATAAAGAGACCCTTTAGCCCAGGTCTAATGCGCTCTGAGGGTCCCATGACTTTTTCCTGGCTTTGTGTCACAGAAAGGAGCCAAAAGAGAGAAGGAGAGGAGGCTTTACAGCAGCTAAACCTCACTTTGAAAAACCATCTTCACCCAAGTGTGTTTGTGTGTGAGCGTGTGTGTGTCCTGGTGTTCCTGGATATGATTACTTATCATGTTAGAAGGAAAATTCAGATTTTTCCTAAAATACCTAAGTAGCTGAATTTTACTTTCTTAGAATGCAGTTTTCAAATACCATATAACAACTCAGACAAAACATAACAAACTAAATAATCCCTCTTCTCCTGACCCATGGGTGAGATGTCCATAATTTCATAAAATGTTTGTGTTTATGTGTTTATGTTTATGCATTTAGGAGACGCTTTTATCCAAAGCTACTTACAAAGTAGACACAATTTTACAGTAATCATAAATATATCTAGTTCTCTAGAGGAAAATCCCCAGTCAGAGTCAGTGGTGACAGCAAAGAGAGAGAGGGACACTCCAAATCACCCCCCAGGAGTGAATGTGAGTGTGTGTGGTTGGTTGTCTCTGTGTGCATTTTAAAACTGTGCAGAAAATAGTAAAGGTTTCTGGATCATGTTCACATCTGGACTCTTTGCTGCATGACAGAGTGTGAAAATGCATGTGTGGGTGACCCGGTGAACTCCGTTCACAGAAAATCTTTTCTGGAAGTGTTTGCAAGCCAATGCCCTGCCACCTGCCTCCAGGGTCTGGCAATCAATGCCATTAACTTGTGACTTTGCCCCTGGTTAACACAGAATCCTCTGATGATAATATCTGATGTAGTATGAATTAGGAAACTGCTCTAAAATCTTGCAAACTGCTGAACCTCTGAGATACTCTGCTTTTTTTGAGGAGTTCTTTTTGTTCCTAGTCATGCTACTTATCCTCCAGCTGTTTGTTTTTAGTACAATTTGATTCCCCTTTTTGATGATGCTTTGCTGCGTTCAAATTTGAAATAAGCTGATAGCTCTGATTAAATAGTCCAATTACTTCTTTATATGTTTTCTCAGTTTTTTGTTTTAAAACTGGTTTATGATATGGAATACCATGCTGTCTTTGTAACTGCACCAGTCAAAACTGCATGACTGTCTTACATCAACCACCAGGACAACTTACTGACTTTCTAAATAAACAAGATACCCTGCTCTCTGGACATGACTGTCCCACAATGGTCCTTGGTGCTATGAATATCAACCTTCTAACCTCCTAATTCTTATTCTTTCTATCATTGATAAACTCATTTGACCTACAACTGCTCTACAGTCCTCTGACTCACAAAGCCGGCAATGCACTAGGTCTCATTTTCCCATTAAACTGTGCCACAGAGGCCCTCTCTCTCACACCTCTGCACTTTTCTGACCACTATTTCCTTCAATTCACAGTCAGTCTCACAAAAAGACCCTCTGCCTCCACCTCCATTGTTTCTTTCCACTATAATCTGCCAAATTTTTCCCCACCTGCTTCTTCTCCCTTGTTGCAGCCGCTCTTCCAGCCTCCAACACATTTTTCACCCTGAGCTCCAAGATGAGTTCTTGTCTGGATAGTCTGTGTTCTCCACCAATGGATCAAAGCCCATCACCTCCAACTGAAGTTCTCAAAAACTGAACCGCTCTCCTTTCCAGCCAAACCAACCCAAACATAGTGGATTTCAAACACCACAATATTCACATCCAAACTCAATCTCTGGTTCTTGCTTCATCAAAAGTCGGCCAGAAACTTGGGTGTCATAACTGATGACCAACTAATCTTTAAAGATTATTTTGCCTCCATTGCTTCATCACGTAATTTTGCATTTCTAGACATAAGAAAAATCCAACCATCCGCAATCCAACAACCTAGCCACCACAAATTCAAGTCACGGATGTTTGCTTATGGCACAGCTCACCACAGCTATTCTCTACCAAGCGCTGCAAGATTGTGGGCGTCCATTGCCATCTTCAAGAAACTCTTGGAGACCAAGCCAAGTACATCAGAGAGCAACTGTAGCTTCCAACAGAGTCTGGCTAGTTTTCATCGAGGTAGCTTATTGTCAGTTCATGTTGTATCTGCATTCTAAGTCACTTTCAATAAAAGCATCTCCTAAATGTTTAAAAATAAACATAAACATCTGAAAATCATTGGAAATCAATCAATCAGTCAATAGCATGTTTGCATTTTAGATCGTTTCCCAGCGTTTTTAGATCTATGGTTGGAGTTTTTGCAGATATATTCATCATTCAAACACAAATACATCATTAAGTCATCAACAGGTGCTTTTCTGTGCCATGATATTGTGCCTTGTTGCATAACCATCTGGAAGTGATGTTATTCCAGTTTATTTATAAATCCATAATTACTGGTACTAATAAACAGTCATATTGTCAGAGACTTGTTTAACTTTGTAATCATTGCATTTCCACAGTGGAAACGAGAAGGGAGAGTTGACAAATGTAATGATAACCTATCAGCTGGCTCTTTATGTTTTATGCTAACTTTGTTAAGTTAGAAGAAAGCCTGCACAAACAGGGACCGTATATATTATACAGGAAGGTTTTCTTGGGAACGTAGGTAAAAAAAAAACATATTTCTGCCAATGGAAGCACACTGTCCTCATGATCTGCAGATGGCAGTCATGTGCAAATACATCCATCTGGTTTTGATGTCCCAATGAGAAAATACACAAATCAGCCACCAAAACAAGTAGTACTGACTCACTGGTGTGTTAAGATAGCAATGTTTTTGTTTAATTGTACATGTTGAGCCATGGAATTATTGGATGTGCCTAAACATGGAGCTCCAACTAAAGGTGAAACCTCCATTGTCATAATTATCCCAACAGCTGCACACGGCGGTTCAGTTTGGGAACAAGGACTCAGGTGGAAAAAAGAGAGAAGATACCCCAGGGAA